ACAATGTCGCTTTCATAACACATTACTCCTCTGGCAAAAAGACGGGAAAAGGCTATAGACACTACTAAGTCACATATAATCCTGTCAATCATGAACAAAAGCTTGCGTTATCAAACAATACGTATATAAGCGCACCACCTCTCATTCCAAAAAGACATTATAAAACGTTACAAAGGTGCTATTAACTCAAAAAGCGTCAGAAGTATTCCGGAAAACAACACGTAAACAACTCTTAAAACGTCGATATCTCTGTATATCGACAAATCTCAAAACTCTGAAAAACTCTTTGGGGCATTACTTTCCCCATCATATTCTGTACTCATAAACTCATTAAAACACCATAAAACTTCACAAAACTCAAAACACTGTGTTGCAAATATCTGTCCACTGAAACGCGCTTAAATCGTTATAAAGGACCTCGCACGTCACTAAATATCAGTTCAAACAAAGATCTGCGCGCTTACATAACATACAATTCGATATCGCAAAAAAACGTTAAGAAAAAAAAAACGATAGGAAAAGCAAGCAATACATTACATACTGAACAATAGTGTTGGGATTCCTGAAAAGAGTTCAATGTCTTGAGTTACACAGTGTCAGTTACAGTGTCCAGCGAGCGGTTCTCTATACAAATAGCTAAAGTTCTAAACAAAGTCTATAAAGCGTCTCTTCTCCTTTCGTCGCGTTAGTCCGGGGTCGTTCTCTTTATCATCAACTTGTCTTTAATGTCGCTCAGTTCTTAATTATTCAGTCATATTCGATACTCGTCCTTCCGAAGGGGCTTCGAAGTCTTCATCTCTTCAGTGTTGTTCATCGGTGCCATACTGTTAAAGTCGTTAGTCGTCAAGCGCAGTTTCTGAGTCGTCTCTGCCATCGAGCCAGTTAGTTCGGTTCACAAGAAAGACACACCTTTGCCATTTCACTTTTCTTCACAGGATGTCAATATGTGTAAGACGCAATGCCCATGGTTCTCACACCACGTATCAGGGGGGAATTCTTTTCCTCTAGGTTCTCCACACATGTCAGGGGGAATCTCGTCTTGTCTCTATATCTCGTCCCCTTGAGG